CCAACTGGTCTCATTTATTGCAGAGGTGTGCAAAATAAACTTACTAATAAACATGTAACTGTAAACCCCAATTGGGTGAAACAGTATTCACCATATATGTCTTCAGGTGAAGTTTTGTGTATTAATGGGAAGTGGAAGCCAGTGGTTATTCTTCGTGATACAGGTGCTTCCCAAACCATAATTTCATCCAGTATTCTTTCTGATGTTGAAAAGAAAGAGACAGGAAAGTTTGTTGTTCTTCAGAGTGTTGCAGGATGTAAAACTGTCCCTCTAATAGACATTAATTTCAGATCCACCATTACACCAAGTTTATGCACTGTGGGTGTTATTACACAGTTGCCCATCCCAGGTGTGGATGTTATATTGGGTAATGATGTGGCCATAAATCATGTTGTGGGTGAGATTGATCCCCGTTTGTGTAAACAGCCAGTTGCAGACCATGTTTATTCTGCCTGTGCTGAAGTTAGTTCTATGAATGAACCTGTTGTAGAAGATGGTTTTGTCCATTCTACCTGTGCTGATGTCAGTACTAATATAAATCCAGTTGTCAGTTCTGATGTTGTTACTCAAGCATTTGTTCCAGTAACCAGTACCCCTTCAGTGGAGAAGTGGGATGTGGTTGTTCCAGATTCCTGTGTGGCCGATTTAGTTGTTGAGAGTAAGCCTGATACTATGACTCTGCTTTATTCCAATAAATTGGGAAAGGATGTCCATGTACCATTGTCTTGCCCGCTCACTACGAACGTTGTGCCAGGAGTTGAGAGAAACTTAAAAGCCACGACTCTGTATTCCAGCCAAGTGAATGGTTTAGGACAAGATGTCGGGTTGGCAGAAGTATTCCCGCTCACTCCAAGTTTAGAATCAGTTGTCGACAGTAAGTCTGTTGTAGAGGCCCCGCCTCACCCTAGTCAAGGTGATATAATAGGGGAGGAGGTCAAACTACCTGTTACTTGCCCGCTCGTTTCAGATTCCCTTAATTTAAGTGCATTGAGTAGAACTGACCCTAAGATTTCAGAGAGAAGCAAGGAGACAGTCTGTACTGTAGATCCAGTTTTGGAGAGTGTGGGAAAGCAGCCAGAGGATCAGCTTCTGTTGAGTAGATGGAGACCCATTGAGCCTCCCTCTTCAGTTGTCTGTGAGGATGTGACCCAGCTTGGTAGTGATATTATTGATTGTGAGCAGACAGTACTCCAAGCAGCTCCAGAAGTCATGGGAGGAAATTTTGGTAAAATCATTAAGAGTGGTAAAGTAGCATTTGGATCTAAGTTGCGGAGTTGTGATTCTTATTCTATGTGGAGTAAGTATTTCTCATTGTGTACATTGAGTCAGAGTGTGTGTAGGATGTTGAAATCTACTTTTATTCTGCAGGAGCCATTTTCTTGTGAAGTAATGGACTGTGGGACATCTTTGTCAAGCCTTGTGGTTGAGCAGAGAGAGTTTACTCAAGTAGGTTGTGCAACCAGTAGTTCTGAGGAAAAGGTGAGTTATACTAGAGCAGTATCTCTATATTCAGATCCAGGTTATTTTGATGCACGAGTGATAAAAGTGTATGTTCCACTCAAGTGTGGAGTTGACTTTCAGAGTCATACTGGAGTTGACTTTCAGAGCCATATTGTGGGTGAAGGATTAAATCATACTGGGGAGCAGATGTTTGAGGCTCCAGGTGTGTATTTCAAGTTGGGGGATAAGGTTATCCTACCTAGAGTTAATCATTGTGAAGGGTTTCAGATTGTCCTTGGGTGTTTCCCAGGTAACCTGCTGTGCATCTTCAAGATGTTAAGACCCTTAAACCTCTTGGTTGATTGGTTGTCATCAGACGTAAATCACTTGGGAAGTGATGGTGAGGATTGTAAAGTTTTCGGCATGTTTTATTTAGTCTTTTGGCAGACTAGACGGTTGATGAAAGTGTGTGTTGTGTTCAAGTTCACCATCAGGGGGTGTGAACTTGTCTTCGGAGTTCTGATTGAGATATGGTGCCTAGGCATATGCCTGTTTTCTTTCACTGATCGTTATGACAGAGTTATGAGGCAATTGATTTCTGTGTTCCTTATGGATCATCTGAGTCAGTTCGATCAGGTAGTCTTTGCACTTATCTTGGGTTGTATTTCTTGGTTTGAAGGTCAAAGGTTTGCTAAGTCGGTGTCTTGTGTTTCGGAAGGTTCTATGAATGGGAAAGTCCTATGCATAATTGTGAGGTTTAATGCTAATTTCTCTAATTTTAGTATCCATTGGGCGAGAGTATGTGTTCCACAGAGGATCAAGAGTGATGAAGAGCAGATGTCTGTGTCAGAGCATACCCAGGAGAAGTCCCAAATCTACTCAACATCCAGTCAGCTTCAATTAAGCAGTTCAGCTCCAGAAAAAGGGAGTAATGGAAAATGGAGTCTGTCTTGGAAAACTTCACCATGTGGAAAAGGGATCACATGGAAATACGGAACTGATCTTGGAGAAATAGTAGAAACATATGAAAAGCTAAATTGCCATGATAACTGTGTGAAAGCAGCTACCTTTATTGACAATTCTATTCATGCTAATAATGATAATGTTGTAGATAGGAGTGTGAAATATGATCTGCAACAAAGTGAAATAAATGAGATAGTATCTTGGAGAGATAAATTTGCATACTCCAGTGACACATGTAGAACATAGTCATAAGACTGAAATTTCTGAGTTTCCTGTAAGACTATATTTGGAGTGTTTTCATTTTTGTCCAGAAATGTGTTCTAATTACTTTTACATGTTTGGTGTAATTAATACCATAAATCTCAAGTGTCATACCTTTTACTTTGAAAAAATGCCATTGATCTTCAATCTATTGCATTTTTTTTCTTGGAGGTGGAAGTGTTACGTACTCCTAGCAGAATACGTATATAAATTTAAAATAACTTGTTTTGTTCCATTATATCATGCCTGTATATGTACACACATTGTGTTTTGTAAATTATCGTGTGGTGTGGCAGCGTCAGTGGAGACAGGAGCGCGGTTGCTTTGCACACGTCTAGTACCTGTTAAATTCGGGAAGCATTCAGGAAGCTGGACCTGTTCAGTTGGGAGTTCCAGATGTCACTTTTATTTAGTTTAGGTAATTGTTTATTTTCTGCAATTAAGCCGGTGGCATTGTACTTATATATTTTGTAAGTAACTATTATATGGCATACTCCAGGATTGGCCTGACATATGTGGTATACAAAGTTCTGAATGATTCTTTACACAAGTTTCTGAATGCCGTTCGTATGTTGGCCAGCCTGGCATATGCCGCTGATGTTATCCTCTTGATATGTGCTACAGGAGACAGGTCTGGCGTGATATCAACCCCCAAGTCTTTTTCTTTCTCTGACTCCTGAAGAATTTCCTCTCCCAGATGATAACTTGTATCTGGCCTCCTGCTCCCTACACCTATCTTCATTACATTTGGTTGGGTTAAACTCTAACAACCATTTGTTCGACCATTCCTTCAGCTTGTCTAGGTCTTCTTGAAGCCTCAAACAGTCCTGTTCTGTCTTAATCCTTCTCATAATTTTGGCATCGTCCGCAAACATTGAGGGAAATGAATCGATACCCTCCGAGAGATCATTTACATATATCAGAAACAAGATAGGACCGAGTACAGAGCCCTGTGGGACTCCACTTGTGACTTCACGCCACTCGGAGGTTTCACCCCTCACCGTAACTCTCTGCTTCCTATTGCTTAGGTACTCCCTTATCCACTGGAGCACCTTACCAGCTACACCTGCCTGTCTCTCCAGCTTATGTACCAGCCTCGTATGTGTATTATTCATGTGTATGAATATGTATATTATGTATTCTCTCATGTGTATTATACATATATAAAACGCTAAACTGTAATGCCAATCCTGACCTCAAAAGCTTCATAGAAGGTTGTAACAGAACCCATGAGCACCACACCAGAAATAAATACAGTTTTGATATTCCTAGAGTACGACTTAATCAAAGTAGAAATGCTCTACAAATCAAGGGACCCAGATTGTGGAATGACCTTCCCAACCATGTTAAAGACTGTACCTCTCTCAACCAGTTTAAGATAAAAACGAAGCTATACCTAATAAATTCCCTGTAACTTACCTTGCCCCTCTATTGTCAACCAATGTCTGTTTTTTTTAAGAGCGCTGTTTGTCGACAGAATTGTATTTGTGCTGCTTTTTCAGCTATGTTTTCATTCCATGTTTTCATTTTACTCTTTATGCTCAATTAGTATTAAGCTTTAGTCATTTAAGTTTTTCATGCCCGAAACGCTTTGCGTAATAGTGGCTTTAGGCATTGTATGTACTAGCCCTATCTATAAATCCATCACTCTTTGTAAAATCTCTTGTATGTATGTACCTTACCTAAATAAACATTTGATTTGATTTGATTTATGCGGTACTGTGTCAAAGGCTTTCCGACAATCCAAGAAAATGCAGTCCGCCCAGCCCTCTCTTTCTTGCTTAATCTTTGTCACCTGGTCGTAGAATTCTATTACGCCAGTCAAGCAAGATTTACCCTCCCTGAACCCATGTTGGCGATTTGTCACGAAGTCCCTTCTCTCCAGATGTGTTACCAGGTTTTTTCTCACGATCTTCTCCATCACCTTACATGGTATACAAGTCAAGGACACTGGCCTGTAGTTCAGTGCCTCTTGCCTGTCGCCCTGTGTGTGTGTGTGTGTGTGTGTGTGTGTGTGTTTGTGGTGTGTGTGTGTGTTGTGTGTGGTGTGTGTGTGTGTGTCTTGTGTGTGTGTGTGTGTGTGTGTGTGTTTGTTTTGGTTGTTGGGGGAGGAGCATTGGAGATAACGGTGTCTGATTGGCTGGATAGGCATATTTAAGCCAAGCACTGGGCTAGACCTGGCAACACACCCTCAGTGCTGGCTGGGACACCGAAGCGAACGTTACTCTTTAACCGAAAAAGTGTACAAGATAGTGTAAAGACACACGTGCTAGCAGATAAATTTACGTGACATCTCACGTCCTAAGCACTTCATTGGAGTTTAGGACTTAGTCCAAAAGAAAACTTGAATAATGAGCGACTTAGTGACAGTTTTATTTGTTGGGGTGATAATCTGGGTACTTAAGAAATGCTGGTCAGACTTCAGACGTAGGTTAGTTCTCCATCTTGACGAGTATGGGATGTTCTTGATCTCTTCCTGATAGATCAGTTCCAATCCCGGACAGGAGAGAAATGGTCGGCCACATTGCTTTTCACCTACTGGCTCTGTTCACCTAGTAGTAAATAGGTGCCCAAGAGTCAAGGCAACTGTTGTACTCTGAGTTTACCTGAGAGCCACTAACACTTGTGGCCGCGACGAGGGACAGGAAGCCGGCGGCTTGTCGAATGCCCCCCCCCCCCCATTTGCCGTGATGATCTTTTCCAGCTGTACTTTAAATGTTAAAAGTTTTTTGGCATTTACGGCTTCGGCGGGTAGGCGGTTCCATGTGTTCATAACCCTGTGGGTGAAGAAGCATCTGTTCGCAGTCCTACATTCTGGTTTATTGAGCTTGAAACCGTTGCTCCTTGTTTGTGTTACATCTGACCTTTAGAAGAAATTGTCCGGATCAACATCCTCAACTTCAATATTTTAAGTTTTAATAAGATCAGCTCTGTCATGCCTGGTTTGCAGTGTTGTTAGCCCTGTGGCCCTCAACGTTCCTGATATGTGAGTTGACTTGGCACTCACTTAATTGTGCTTGCGGGGGTTGAGCTCCGGCTCTTTGCCCCTGCCTCTCAACTGTCAATCAACTTGTGAACAGGTTCCTGAGCCTACTGGGCTCTATCACATTTTAAACTGTGTATGGAGTCTGCTTCCACCACATCACTTCCTAATGCATTCCATGTATTAACTTCTATGACACTGAAAACATTCCTTCTCTGGCCGTGATCGTATAGTGGTTAGTACACTGCGTTGTGGGAAAAATCCTTCTGACGTCTCTGTGACTCATTTGGATACTCAATTTTCATCTGTTCCCTTTTGTGTGAGAACCATCCCTGTTAAATTATGTCTTTATCTACCTTGTCAATTCCCTTGAGAATTTTGTATGTGGTACTCGTGTCTCCTCTAACTCTTCCAGTCTTCCAAATAAAAAAACTAGTTGAGTAAGATCATTAATACACAGTTATATCAGTATTGTTGCTTCCTGGAACTAACATGCATTGGTCAATGGGCCTTCTACGGTTTCATCTTGTTCTGATGTTCACCTCACTTGTATATCTCCCCCCACCCCTATCACTGAATTCTAATATTACCAGGAATACTGATATTCCTGGACCTCGAGGAAGCCTTAGAACTGGCTAGCACCCCAGCTATTCTCTGCTGCATCATCGACAAAGAGGTCAAAGGCAACCTGCTCTCCTCGACCAAAAACTGTCTCATAAACAAAGAAGCAAGAGTGAAACTTCATGATACAGTCTTTGAATACAAAATACAAGAAAATGGTACACTGTAAGTTTAGGGGGCATTCTCAGCCTGAGGGCGAGATTGCTCTTTTCAACGGTTTAATGGAAAGAATAATGAGGCTGAAACCCCGACACTACTGGCTGTTAAATTATGCGGACGACTTTGTCATTATCATAAAAGGAAGAGAAGAAGCGCTCCTTGCACCCAAATGCTTAGACTGCATCAGTGAAGAGGCAAAGCAGATTGATATAAGTCAACCCCCACCAAGACAAAAGCCATGCCCATAAATATAGGGAAGCCCAACAACAAACTCAAAGTACATTGTCAACCAATTGAATGGGTGGACACTTATCAGTATCTAGGATTAATCCTGGACACACGTCAATTTGGTTGCTGAGGTCACTTAGTTGAGAGAGAGAACTGCGGCCCGGACTGCAATCCTCAGATCGCTAACCTTCCTCTCCGGAGGAGCCAATCTGCAAGTCCTTCACACATATTATGTACAGGCAGTAAGATCGGTGATCGACTATGCAGCACCTGCACTCACAAACCTACCACAATAACAGCGGAAAAAGCTTGAAGTTGCACAAAACAATGCTGTGAGAGCTGCCCTGTGAGCCCCTATGTGGACCAGGCTTGAAACTCTAAAACCGGAAAAGGGTTTGCCCTCTCTTCAAGAAAGAATATCTCAAATAACAGCTACAATTATCAGTAATATAACTGATTCCCCTTATCCAGTCCCAGTACGACAGGCCTTGGTGATTGGACTTGGCCGAAACAACGGAAACTCTTGGCCTGCCAGAGCGGGAGAAGTCCTAAACAGACTACAATTAAAAAAACATGATTCTTGATAGAGGAGGTGATCATCCACACCCAAACTACACTTGTTCCCCACTGTGGGAGAAACCTACCTTCAAAAGAGTAATAGAGTTCTTCCGATGAAAAGGGCTGCCTCGGATCCAACAATCCTAAGGCGCATCATAAAAAAGTAAATGTATAGAATTGCAGTAGCAGGAGGCACCCACATTTTCACAGACGGATCGGTGGACACAGAATATGAGCGTGCTGGCGCTGCTCTTTGCACGGACAGTGAACAGACATATTGGAGACTGAGAAGACCAGTATTATCAATCCAAACTAAGCTGTTTGCCATAAGAACATAAGAACAAAGGTAACTGCAGAAGGCCTATTGGCCCATACGAGGCAGCTCCTATCTATAACCACCCAATCCCACTCATATACTTGTCCAACCCGCACTTGAAACAATCGAGGGACCCCACCTCCACCACGTTACGCGGCAATTGGTTCCACAAATCAACAACCCTGTTACTGAACCAGTATTTACCCAAGTCTTTCCTAAATCTAAACTTATCCAATTTATACCCATTGTTTCGTGTTCTGTCTTGTGTTGATACTTTTAATACCCTATTAATATCCCCTTTGTTATGTCCATTCACCCACTTGTAAACCTCTATCATGTCACCCCTAACTCTTCGCCTTTCCAGTGAATGCAACTTAAGCTTTGTTAATCTTTCTTCATATGAAAGATTTCTAATTTGGGGAATTAACTTAGTCATCCTACGCTGGACACGTTCAAGTGAATTTATATCAATCTTATATCTTGAGGCCACCAAGTTTGTCCAACTTGGTGGCCTCAAGATATAAGATTGATATAAATTCACTTGAACGTGTCCAGCGTAGGATGACTAAGTTAATTAATCTAGGTTAAATATCCCAAAAGGATATTTACGGGGAAATCCACAGGGAAATAGCAGTTCGGTTATTTAGACTACGTCTAGGTTACAGATGCAAATGGGAAATTGGTGAACCCAGAGATTGGGAATGCATCTTCTGCCAAACGATCCCAGAAAAGCCCCTACTTCACTATCTCCTGGAATGTGAAGCAACCATCGACCTTAGAAGAGCTTTAAGAGTCCATGAATCTTCCAGTAACCACCCTGAAGCCATCAACTCTGCCACTCTTCTAGTCAAAAAAGGTGTCCAGTAGCTGGACACCCTCATCAATACTGTCAAGCAGTATCCTCCCCTGCGCTATTAGCCACACAGTAAGGACTGACGATTTTAAAGCGAACTCAGCACGCAGTATATCCTTTCACGACCAAAGATTACATTCACTCAAAAATTCTACCACTTACGGGCTATTCATGCCTGTATGCCTGTGCCACCTCTTGGGTGGCTTAATTTTCATCAATCAATCAATCATTGTAATATTTACCCTTCTAATGGATTGATTACTACGAAAGGACTTGAGGGATTTCCTGTCTCATTTTACTTTGTGGTCAGACAGTCATATTATTCATCAAGTGTTAATTTTTTCATGACTTAAATGGATATATATAATTATATACATGATGTCTGTCCCCGACAAAAAGAATTATATAGTGTGCCATCAAAAAAATTGGTAAGGTATCACACGAGATAAAAGAAAAAAGTAGCTATTTTGGGCCCAAAAGTCATCACGGAGGTGTTAGTCTAACAGGGTTGTTCTAACCAAGCCAAAATCAAGCATACCTTTACCTTCAAGGAAATAAAGTAGTCGTTCAATTATATAAGTCTCTGGTGCGCCCCCACCTGGATTATTGCATCCAGGCATAGGAGACCTCATCTTCAGAAAGCTGCTATGGAGAAGGTGCAACACCGAGCAACAAAAATCATACCTGAGCTTAAGCATCTCACATATCAGGAACGGTCGAGGGCCACAGGGCTAACAACATTGCAAACCAGGCATGACAGGGCGAATCCCATCGACACCTTTAAAATACTGAACAAAAGGTCAGATGTAACACGAAGGAGGAGCAATGGGTTCAAGCTCAACAAACCACACTGTAGGACAGAAAACAGGAGATGCTTTTTCACCCACCGGGTTGTAAACCCGTGGAACCGCCTACCCACCGAAGCCGTAAACGCCCAAACTCTGCTGGGTTTTAAAATACAGCTCGAAAAGATCAGGGCAAATGGGGGGATCTTTGACTAGCCGCCGGCTTCCTGTCCCTCAGGTAAATTCAGGTAACCAAGGGTTGACTGCAGTTGTGTGCGCGTAATAAAGTCGGGAAGGGAAGCGGAACTATCGGGAGAACGCACCAAGCCATTACTACTATATAGCACTCGGAAGGGTTGTGGATAGCGATTAGTGACCAAAAGGTCAGATGTAACACGATGGGGAATGGGGAAAGAAATGGTGCCTAACAACTTGGACGGTCAGGGACTGAACAAGTGAGACTTTCGGTCTACCGTCCAGTCCAAGTGGTTGGGCAATGAGGTTGGGAATGCTTAGGAATACTTATGCACCCTCGACCCACCCTGCTTGTTTGTGTCAATGTCTGAGCTTGTGTCTACCTCCCTCCCTTCCCCTCTCTATCTATATCTGAATTTCGCTCTCCCTCTCTCCTCACCGCCTTCCCGACTCGTTTCTCCGCTCCTCCCTTGCGTTCCTCTCTCCTTACTCCCCTTCTTCCTGTGTGTGACCCCTCCTTCTTGCAGCTATACCGCCACCCACCACTTCTGGCCTCCCGCAGGTACTTCGCAGCGTTCATGAACTACCGTAGAGTAAGGTACGTGGACCTGCTTTTTTGTTAATGTTATATGGCAAACACAATTTGGATATTTATTGATTTTTACTGTTTGAACATGTAGACCTATCATTCAGATATCTATGGTAGCAATATAAGTTTTTAGTTCATCAATATAAATCCACAATTTGGGGCAAGTAGGCACCAATTACTGAATACTTACATACATACATTTAAGGCGAGTGATATGGAGCATGATCTAGTGCATGAGCCATACTAGTAAGTAATTGTTCAGGAAAACTTTATCTTTAACAAAACCAGTTTTAGGCAACTTTGTAACTTCATCATCTGATTGTGTGTTGAACTCTTCAGGATTCTTAAGCTTTACAAATGTAAGATTCCGTGAATCATTTGCATAATTCTTGCGCTGATAGTCTATCATCAATGTAATGGCATCATCACACCGTTGGTGCAGGTTTCCAGCATAATGAAAAATGCTACTTATTGCTACCAAATTCGACGAGGGCAGTTACCCCCGATCAAGTTTTTCAGTTTCACCTGACTGTCAGAGATTGAACCACGTACGTACGTACGTGTGTAATTACCTAAGTGTTGTTACAGGATGAGAGCTACGCTCGTGGTTTCCCGTCTTCCCAGCACTCTGTCATATAACGCTTTGAAACTACTGACGGTCTTGGCCTATACTACTTTCTCACCTAACTTGTTCCAATCGTCTACCACTCTGTTTGCGAAAGTGAATTTTCTTATATTTCTTCGGCATCTGTGTTTAGCTAGTTTAAATCTATGACCTCTTGTTCTTAAAGTTCCAGGTCTCAGGAAATCTTCCATATCGATTTTATCAATTCCTGTTACTATTTTGTATGTAGTGATCATATCACCTCTTTTTCTTCTGTCTTCTAGTTTTGGCATATTTAATGCCTCTAACCTCTCCTCGTAGCTCTTGCCCTTCAGTTCTGGGAGCCACTTAGTAGCATGTCTTAGCACCTTTTCCAGTTTGTTGATGTGCTTCTTAAGATATGGCCACCACACAATCGCTGCATATTCTAGCTTTGGCCTAACAAAAGTCGTGAACAATTTCTTTAGTATATCGCCATCCATGTATTTAAAAGTAATTCTGAAGAATTTTTACGTTGTGTGGGGTCTATGTTCTCCTATTCCACATTCCATAACATGGCATGTGTGCCGCTAGGCTAGGGCAGGTGTGCTACTCGCTCAAACTAATCAACAAGGTAAAACGCCTAGAGAAACAGGCATATGGCATTGAGATCTTGCTTTATATAGGTCGTGTCTGATTATTTAAAATATTTTTGAACATTTGTTATATAATTTCTTCTAAATTTACATATCTTTTTGCACTCTATCACTTAGTAACGGTGGGTGTGCAAATAATTTTGCTGACAGTTTACATTTGCTTAGGTCTACATCAGCAGATAAGGAAAATTCCCAGATACTTACAGCCTAGTCTAAGCCGAGCAGCAGTAACACAAAGGAATCTGCTGACTTTATTGGATGATCCATAGATACGTGGACTTCTTACATGGTAGAATGTTGATAGAGGGAAATACTAGTGTCGATTTTACTTTGCCTAATAACTACAAGGTTTTGTTTATGTTCTTAGCGCAATATTGCTCTCAGACTTCCTACAGGCGCACTATATATTTACGGTGTACAATTTACTATTATTTAAACAATACAAATGAAAAATATTTTTTCCCTGGCATATCAATCACCCTATCCAAAAATAGGCAATCCAAGGTTATAATCAACTCCTCTGAAGGCAGATGCTTTGGCTAACTTATCACCTCTTATCATACCTTCGGAGGCCATTATAAAATGGAACCACATGAAATGGACTCTGTTACTATCAATTTTATTAATAGTAAAATTAATATTACAGTATTTTCTTTTATTTGTTTAGCTTCAGACACGAGCATGTCACAATTATGTCTTAAAGAGTTGAGGGCAATTAAGTTAGTTTTGTTCATTTATTATGCACCCCATACCCATCTTGTGAGCGGTAGTGAAAAGTGTTACAGAGGCACATAATGGGCTCAGGGACAGAATCCCACAATTCATTTAGCTATTAAGGATGATAAAAAGTCACTAACTTTAAATGTATGAAGTTTGGAGGCTTGTACACATTTCAGTGCAAGAAGTAAGGCAAATAGTTCGATTTGAAGGGTAGAGGCCCCATTCAAAATATAAATCACCACCTGTTGTCAGGATAACTACACTTCTAGCTGAACCGTGGGGCGGTATAGGTTTGAGAAAGTGTATATGGTTTGAGAAAGAGAATGCTCTGTACAGGACAGAGCATTAATATGGCTTAAGGCGTTGAGCTTTGCCTCAAGGCGAAGCTTGGGTTGATCTTTAATTTGCTTCTTGTGTGGAATGGGAGGGATTAAAACTGGAAAGGGTGTAATCTCCAACGGTGCAGGAAAGTGCCGTTGTCTTTTTTGGTACAAATTAGAAATTAGATACATTCTGAGTTCAGTTCCAATTTTAGTTGTCCATTTGGAACAATGTTGACCTTCAATAAAGAAATTCTCGTGGAGGGTTTCTGACAAGGGTAAGGATGAGTTAGCCTAAGCATTTTCATACCAATTTGACAGTTAATTTCAGTATCGCGATCAATGTTGCTCGGAGTATTAAGTTCCGTTTTCATGTTAAGTATATTTGTGGTACGAGGGCACCAAAGGATTATTCTCAAGGCTTCGTTCTGCAATTTTTCAAGCCTCAAGTTATATTCTTTTGAGAATTCTGACATTGGCACCATAGCCCGAGTGATAACCCGCAACAGCCTTGAAAGTTCAGAGTCTCTCTTTATACGGATGACAGAGTCTGATCACAACAGGACCCCAAGGTAATTGAATCTGTTTGCGTAGTTAAGTTGGGAGCCATCATCGCTGCATCTTGCCAACAGCTCCCTGCCTGGGTGGACGCCAATTTAGTATATTTGTTTTCTCTGCTGAGATGACTAAACCTGGATCCTGACATGAGTCTAATACAGAGTTAAGAGTGTCTGCATGTTAGCATACTCAGTGGAAAATCCTAGAATCATCTGCAAATGATACAGTACAATAGTTTGTATCCTTGTATATGTCTGATACGAGGATGAGAGAAAGTACCAGAGCAAGTAGGATACAGTCCCTGAAAGAACAATTTTTAAAATTAAATTGAGTTTTGGGATTTTAGTTTGTGGGTCAACTTACCCTTGGTCCTGTGATGGCCCACTTAACTCACTCAATGGTACTTCAGCCAGGACATGGACGTCAGGATAGAGACGATGAAGAAGGACGTGTTCTCCACCCTTGGAACGGTGGTGTCCCACGACCCAGAGCTCAGGAAGCATAATGCTATCAAGATCCTCGAAATTGGCGTCGGTACAGGTGAGTATAAACAGCTGCCCTACTGATGGTTGCGTCAATTTTTCTTAGTTTGTATTTTATGACTATTATTAATCGATCTCTTCATTACCAGAAATCTCATGAATATACCTATATTTTTTTGTTTGCTGCTTTGTTTTCGGGCACACTTATTAGGCTAGTTTTGATTGGTGAAGCTTTCTCAACTATTGCATATGGTCGTGCAATGAAGCTTCTTTTCCCAGGACAAACTTTTTTTTTTTTTTTTTTTGCAGGGATATTCCTGCACGGGCCCTAAGCCTCTGACTGGGCCAGTAAGTGTTGCTTGTTTCTGTTTTACTTGGGCGGAGTATGAGTATTTTGTCCCACGTGTTTAACATTATCTGCTCTGTTGAATCTAAGTTGAAATCTTAATGGGTTTGTAACTCTGCACTGTGTTAGATAATGTTCCAGTGGTCTGTCGGGCATTTCTCCGCAGTGCTGACATTTCCTCTCATCTTCTGGAACCTGTAAGCCTATTTCCCATGCACATGGGTATCCAAGCCTGATGCGATGTAAGTACTTCTGTTGTTCTGCTGCTACCTTTCATCAAACTAAGTGGTTCGTAGTTGGTTGAATTCTTGTACCAACTCGCAGATCCTGATGTTGCAACTGCTGTGTTGTGGTCACTGTACATCTTTTGCATTGCTCTGTTTCTAATTACTTTCTTAATCTGTGATAGACTCTGTGGTATGTAAATGTCCACATTTCTTCTCTTAGTTGCAAGTTTTGCTGCTTCGTTTGCAATGTTATTTCCTATTATTCCCACATAACTTGGCACCCAATTGATAAGTACCCATCAGCCTTGTCGTTTGAGTGTTTGCATTAATGATATGACATTTGTGATCAGATGGATGTTATCACATGTGTGTTCTTGTTGCAAGGTTTCAATGGCAGTTCTTGAATCTGTATGTATGATAACATGTTGTCTGTGTTCAGCAAGAACATGTTCCAAAGCCTTTTGAATGGCTAGCATCTCTGTAAAGTCGAACACCCAATTGAGTCTCTCCAACTATTTACAGAGTTTCCTGCTTTAACTGCAGCTCCAATTTCTTGTCCCTGCTTGTCTACTAATCCATCTGTGAAGTAAGTGAAGCTGTCAGATGCCAAGTTTGTTTCTATATGCATCTGTGCAATATTACGTAGCAGATGAGGATTTGTCTGGTTCTTTTTTCCTTCAAGAACTATAATCTTAAAGTCTGCTGGCAGAGATTCCCAAGGGTCTTGCATAACAAAGTAAGTAATTATCAAAAGAAAGCACCAAACCGGGAAGGCTATGTAGCACCATCAAATGTGCGGAATAATCAGAGGGCGCTAAATATCACCAAGAATGCCAATACGAGAACAAAAACGCATAAGGCGAACGACATCAAAAGTATCCGAGTCACCAAGAATTCTATTGAGGGACAGGTGACCGCGAGGGGTGGTTAGAAAGCAAGACACACGCTCGTCCTGGAAGTCAGGACATTCAAGGACATGCACGACTGTAAGAGGGACAATGCAATTAGGACAATAAGGAGCAGGGCAGCGCTCCATCAAGTGACCATGGGTTAAGCGAGTATGGCCAATATGCAACCTCGCCAGAGCCGTTTCCCATCGCCGGTTACGGTGGTAGGACGGCCACAAGGAAACACAACATTTAAGAGTACGTAGTTTGTTACCAGTAACAGACGACCAAGAAGCCTGCCAACGGGTAAGGATGGAGGAATGGATAACCGGGTAAAAGTCGGAATATGGAATGCCTTTACGAGAGATGGGACAAGAGTGGACAGCTTCCTTGGCGGCAGCATCCGCACGCTCATTTAAAGACACACCAATATGGCTGGGAACCCAACAAAACTCAACCGATTTAAATTTACTGTGAACAATAAACAGCCAATACTGGATCTCGACAACTACTGGATGAACCGGATTAAAGGACCCGAGAGCCATGAGGGCACTACGAGAGTCGACAACAACTACAAAGGAAGACTGACAACAAGAAAGCAGGAGACGAAGAGCATAAAGCTCCGCTGTGAAGATGCTAGTCTCCGGAGGTAAGCGACACATTTAAGTGCGATCAGGAAAAACAACAGAGTAGCCAACACCTTCCGCAGACTTAGACCCATCGGTGAAGACAGAAACGGAGCGGGAGTGAGAAAAAAAGTGCTCAAGGAAAAGGTGGTTTAGAACCGTAGGAGGGGTAAAAGCTTTAGTGATGCAGGTCAAGGACGTACAAAACTGCAGAAGGGAGGACGCTTCACGGGGGCAAAGAAGGAACAACATGAGGAGAAACATTAGAAATACAAACGGAAAGAGAATCCTGTAAGCGAGATAACCGGACAGAAAGAGGGAGGTGGTGAAGAGGAACAGGAACCGCAAGAGGGGTAAAAGTTAAAGCACGACAGAGGCGAGAGGAAGGATGCTGTAAGGACTGCGCAGGATAGCGAAGACAGTAGCCATCACGGTGGTCCTGGAGAGACAGGAAGCCAGTATCAACATACAAGCTAAGGACGGGAGTCGAACGAAAGGCACCAGAACTGAGGCGCAACCCAGTATGGTGCAAAGCATCAAGACGGCGAAGAGTAGAAGGAGAAGCAGACGAGTAAGCAGGGCAACCATAATCGAGCTTAGACAGGACGAGAGGAATGTAAAGCAAGGAGAGTGCGCCTATCCGCCCCCAAAGAAGTATTGGACAATACCCGAAGGAGGGTAAGGGCCTTAGAGCACTCAACACGGAGGTAAGAGATATGGGGAGACCAAGACAAACGAGTGTCAAGGAATAACCCCAAAAGCTTCGCAGAATCTTTGTACTCAAGGGGATGACCATAAAGTGACAAAGAGGGACGAAGAACAACCCATTTCCGAGTAAAAGTCATGGCACAAGTCTTAGTAGTAGAGAACTTGAAGCCATGATCGGTGGCCCAAGATGACATGGCATCAATCGCAAGTTGAAGCCGGCGTTGAAGGAGAGGCGAATCATCACCCTGACAGCAAAGGGTAAGATCATCAACATAGAGAGCAGAGAAGACACCTGAAGGAAGAGAGGAAAGAAGACCATTGAGGGCAACCAGAAAAAAAGAGTAGTGCTCAGAACACTACCCTGGGGCACACCTTCGTATTGCTGAAAAGAGGCAGAGAGAGCGGTACCAAGCCGCACCTGAAAGGAACGACGAGAGAGGAAGCTGCGGAGAAAGAGAGGGAGATGACCACAAAGGCCAAAAGAATGAAGCTGGGATAGAATATCATATCGCCAAGTGGTGTCGTAAGCCTTTTCCAGGTCAAAAAGGACGGCAACAACGGAGGTCTTCGCAGCAAAAGCAGTACGAATATAGACCTCCAAGTTCACCAGGACATCTGTCGTGCTGCGGCACGTGCGGAAACCAAACTGAGAAGGGGAGAGGAGGTGATGGTGTTCCAGGAACCACATCAGACGAACGTTAACCATACGTTCAAAAAGTTTGCAGACACAACTTGTGAGGGCAATAGGGCGAAAGTCCTTAGGGGATGTTCCCAGAGACCCTGGTTTGCGAACACGGAGGACAACGGCATCGAGCCAGTCCTCAAGGACTGACGACGACTCCCAGATCCGATTATACAGACTCAGTAAATACTGAGACGTGCACACAGGGAGATGGCGAAGCATCTCATAATGAATACCATCGGAGCCTGCCACCGTAGAACCGCAGAGGGCCAGGGCAGAACGAAGTTCAGAGAGAGAAAGGATCGTTATAGGGAAGTCGAAGACGAGTGCAGAAATCTAAAGGACGAGACTCAAGGACAAGTTTACGAAAAAGGAAAGATTGGGAAAGATGAAGACCAGAGCTAACAGAAGAAAAGTGGGAACCCTGTTCGGTAGTGACCTACGTACGTGTGTAATTACCTAAGTGTTGTTACAGGATGAGAGCTACGCTCGTGGTGTCCCGTCTTCCCAGCACTCTGTCATATAACACTTTGAAACTACTGACGGTCTTGGCCTATACTACCTTCTCACCTAACTTGTTCCAATCGTCTACCACTCTGTTTGCGAAAGTGAATTTTCTTATATTTCTTCGGCATCTGTGTTTAGCTAGTTTAAATCTATGACCTCTTGTTCTTAAAGTTCCAGGTCTCAGGAAATCTTCCCTATCGATTTTATCAATTCCTGTTACTATTTTGTATGTAGTGATCATATCACCTCTTTTTCTTCTGTCTTCTAGTTTTGGCATATTTAATGCCTTTAACCTCTCCTCGTAGCTCTTGCCCTTCAGTTCTGGGAGCCACTTAGTAGCATGTCTTTGCATCTTTTCCAGTTTGTTGATGTGCTACTTAAGATATGGGCACCACACAACCACTGCATATTCTAGCTTTGGCCTTACCTTACCTTACCTTACCTTGAGGTGCTTCCGGGGCTTAGCGTCCCTGCGGCCCGGTCGTCGACCAGGCCTCCTGGTTGCTGGACTGATCAACCAGGCTGTTAGACGCGGCTGCTCGCAGCCTGACATATGAGTCGCAGCCTGACATATGAGTCACAGCCTGGTTGATCAGGTATCCTTTGGAGGTGCTTATCCAGTTCTTTACCTTTGGCCTAACTAAAGTCGTGAACAATTTCTTTAGTATATCGCCATCCATGTATTTAAAATCAATTCTGAAGTTAGAAAGCGTGGCATAGGCTCCTCGCACAATATTCTTTATGTGGTCCTCAGGTGATAGTTTTCTATTTAGAACAACCCCTAGATCTCTTTCTTTATCAGAATTTTTTAAAGATTTCTCACATAATATATAGTTTGTGTGAGGTCTATGTTCTCCTATTCCACATTCCATAACATGGCATTTATTAACATTAAATTCCATTTGCCAAGTGGTGCTCCATATACTTATTTTGTCCAGGTCATCTTGAAGGGCATGACAATCATCTAAGTTTCTTATCCTTCCTATTATCTTAGCATCATCAGCAAACATGTTCATATAATTCTGTATACCAACTGGTAGATCATTTATGTAGACAATAAACATCACTGGTGCAA